CACGCGCTTCGCAGGGGGCCGGGGTGGGCGAGGGGGTGCTGACGTCTCTGGGTAGGCAAGTGTGTGTGACTTCTGCCCCGCCGGAACGGAAAAACCGCGGCATGGTGCCTGTGGTGCCGATCCTGGGAATCTGAGCTTGTGCACTAACTTAGGGGAACCGTGCTGGCGCCGTGTCACGGTATGGTGCAGAGAAGCAGCGTGTATAAATTGCTCAATCCTCTGGGGGATAGCAGTTTCCCTGAGGTGATGTCGAGCACTGATAAGTAGAGATTCATTTGCTGACAAGGTATTTATATTATGCTTATTGAGGATTATTTCTTTCTCATTTCTAAATTCCTAACCCTTCCAAGGAGTCCAGCATGGAAGAGTTTAAAGATGCAAGTTCACCTGAAGAACTACTTGATCACTTAAAGCTTTCTGATCAGAAGTCTTCAGAGACTAGCCCCAAAGATGCACAGAATCCCCAAAACACTGGAAGTGGATATACACTATCTTCCGCCAAAGATCCCACAACAGCAGATGAGTGTTTCCATGACTGTCACGACTCCTTTGAGGCAAAAGAACCTATGCTGGATGATGAAGGGAACTTACGGAATGATGCAAATAGCTCAAGGAAGCAGACAGAACTAGATGAAGAATACTTACTAGAACTAGAAAAAGATATGCCAGAGGAAGAAAAACAGGTAATCCAAAGTACCAATGTTGAATATAAAAGATAATAGTTTCAGTGTCATGTTTCTGAATGGTCTGTGAAAATGCATGTTTAAAACTCACGTGTTTAGTTCTATTGTTCCTAATTCTTCTTTTAGGTAACAAATACTTTTATTAGCTTTCATTAATCTTCTGAATCATCACATTCCGTTGCAGATTTTTGTCTACTTTCACCAGTGTGTAAGATTCCTGTGACTCGGAGATTATAAGAACAAAAATCTCCTTGTTTCATGTTATTTCGTGTTATGCATTCATTTAGCTGCAAGGTGCTTCTCCAAAACTTGGAGCAGGTTTCAAGATAGTTTATGTAATATAACTAGTTGGGATTAAAATTTAAAGTATCCCTGTAGATTGCTTATGCTTTAAACAAACATAACACATTAAATATGTGGGTTTGTTTATTTTCAATGCAGTTACATTGAGCAAAACGTTTGGGTAACAAACTGGATAGTATTGTGGGGAGTCACAATAGGTCTGGGGCGGAAGTGCTTGGAACTTGTAATACTTTGAGATCTAATAATGAATAATGGGAGGGGAATATCAGGGGGGTTATCTAATGCATCCTTTGCCCCAAAAGGGCATCTGGAGGTCATCTAGTCCAGCCCTCTGCTCAAAGTGAGATCATAGAATGGTTTGGGTGGGAAGGGACTTTAAAGACCATCTAGTTCCAACCCCCCTGCCATGGGCAGGGACACCTTCCACTAGACCAGGTTGCTCCAAGCCTGGCCTTGGGCACTTCCAGGGATGGGGCATCCACAGCTTCTCTGGGCAACCTGTTCCAGTGCCCCACCGCCCTTTCCATGAAGGACTTCTTCCTGATATCCAATCTAAATTTCCCCACTTTCAATGTAAACCCGTTACCCCTTGTCCTGTCACTACAGGCCCTTGTAAAAAGTCCCCCCCAGCTTCCTTGTAGCCCCCTTCAGGTACTGGAAGGCGCTATAAGTTCTGCCCGGAGCCTTCTCTTCTCCAGGCTGAACAAGCCCAACTCTCAGCCTTTCATCATAGCAGAGGTGCTCCAGCCCTCTGAGCATCAAATAGATCAGCCTGCCCAGACTCATGCAGACATCTTAGACCCTGTAGACCAGACAAGCTCTTTGGGCCCCTGTTTTAATGTTTAACTACCCTCATCATGGAAACCCTTTTCCTCGTATTTAATTAGAATTTTTTTGTTGCAGCTTGTGTCCACTGGCCCTTTTCTTTTCCTGCATGTGTCCTGGAAGAGTCCGTCTCCGTTTTCTCTAGTAATGAAGTATCCCCTGGGCCACCTTTTCCTAAGGCTGAACAAACTCAGTTCTCCCAGGCTGTCTGCTTAGGTCCTGGTCTCCAGTGTCCTTACTGTCGTGGGAGTCCCTCTGGGAAGTCACTGCCTTCTTGGGGGGGAGGACAGGGGGCTGATGGACACAAAAAGCGTGCACTCTCCAAATGCATTCTCTCAGGTGCTGAACAGAGGGTAATAATCACTTTCCTCGACCTACTTAGGACACAGAAAAAAACATCATCACATTGACCTTGTGTCTTTTCCGCTTGAGACTAAACAGTCCCTTTTTTCTCCTTGTATTTAGTGCTCGTACAACAAGGAGCATTGTCATCATGAGTCAGGATGAGGCTTCTGCAGCACTTGAAGGCAGCTTGAGAGTTTCATAGACAAAATGCTAAAAAACGTGGGGAAATTGTCATAGAATTAAATTCTGGAAAGAGCAGCAGGCCTGGAAGTTGGGTATCTGCTCTTGTTTCTGTTGTATTGTTAGGTAATCATTTAAGTTTGCGTATCAATTTTGCCCTCTGTAAAATGAGCAAAAGAATCGTGAATGTTGAATACCTGCGTTCAGTTTTGTGGAGCTCCATGGAAAGGTGCTATGGAAGTACAAAGTAACTGTTTAAAGCTGGAAAGATTTCCTTAGAGAAAGTATTGAGACAGCTGCAGTTTTTGTCATTCTGTAGGTTTATTGCCCATGGTATTGAGGAATTGTGTCTTTTCGGCTTGGTTTACGATACACCTAATGAAATGAAGGGATTCCATCTCTTAGTATCACCATAACAATTAGATTGGCAATATTTATATTGTGAACTTATGTTCCATGGAGCTTTCTGAGTTTATATAAGCAGTCTGTAAAATATAGTTATTTTTTTCTGTAACTAATTGTTGTTGGTATCTCTTATAAACAGAGCTTGAGAAATCCAATTTGAGAAAACAGCAGTTTGTTATATTGTTGTATCACTTACTGAAGTAGTCCATTTGCATGATCTCTCCTTGTACCACCTTACGTTCTCTGTATAGTAAAACCATGTTTTTTTTTGAATTGCCACTCCAACTTTCCTTATAGTGCTTGGAATTGATGGCTATAAATGTTATTTTCTGAAAGTAAGACGTTCTGTATATTTTGAATATAAAAAGAATCTGTTAAATGATGCTGCTTTTAAGAAAAAATACTGCAGTTACAGACTGAAAACAGCTGCTGTACATCCATTTATTCAGATGTTTTCAAATTTTTTTTAAACCTTCCTGCAATTACTCAAAAGGTTGGTTTTGAGTAGATGGGCAATGCGAGTTCTTCTTTTTTCTCTTTTTTTTTTTTTCCCCTCTTTTTTTTTCCCCCAGCTGGAGAAAATCAGGCAGCAATATTCAGGATTTGTTTATTTGAGTGTTAGGTGGTGACCAGAGGCTCAGCAGTGCTGAGGTTGCTGCTTAGGCAGCCCCTGATCAGTTATTCTCAGCCCCCTGCTGCCTCTGCCATCGCGCTAGCACACCTCTCTGCATGTGCGTGTGCAGTGAGCCGGTTACGGGGAGTGGTTCGGGTGAAAAATAATGCTGTATTTTCAGGTCACAGGCAGTGCTGGTAAAAGTAGACATCTAATGGCAGCCTCGTGATGGCATAGAAGGGGTAGATGGATTTTCTTCAATTAGACTAGTTGCCTAAATAAGAAAAACTTCTGTGAACTGTGATTGCAGCACCAACCAGAAACTATGTACTCCGGTCATAAGGAGAACTGGATTTTAGCCCTGCTCAAATCAAATTTATGAAACTGCAACCTTGGATTGTTTTGTAACTAAGCCCACTGCTGGTTTTTTAGCAGCTTTAACAAATCAGCTCTTTTGAGCAATGTTCTTCAATAACTAGGCTGTAGAAAAGAAAGCCTTTAATTTATTCTGGAGATGTAAAGACAAACTCTAGTCCTTGCTCTGTGTATTTGTGTGTATCCTATGTGCAAGCTTTCATGGTAGCAACTCTGCGTAGAAATTCTCACCCATGCAGAAGCTGCTGCAGTGATCAAAGTGAAGGATCAAGTGGGTATCTATTTTTTTTCAGTTATATGTTGAGAGCCCCTTACAGTGAGATTTCTAATTTTAAGCAACAAGAATTACTTCCAGGGAAACAGTACCAGTACTATAAGAAGTCTTCTCTGCACAACGAAGCAAAGTAACCTGAAGGGATATTAAGACACAGATGTGTAAGCAGTATTCTTAAAAGCAGATGTAGCATAGAACCTGGTTACTTGCCTGGACTTGTGACTGAGCTTTTTAAGAATTCAGCTGCCTGAAACAAAATTCACTTTTTTAAGATGCTGTTGTTGTTGATGTTTCAAAAGCATGCTGATTGCTGCCTCAGCAGAGGCACTGAGCGGTAAATTGCTTTTGATGCGTTACACACAGATTTTTCTGGCTAGTTGTCATTGACAGTGATGGCTTTGACGTTGGCCTAGTCTGCAGAATTAATCAGAAGACACCCAGCAGCTGTTACATGGTAATTGTTTCAGTCTGACCTGGTCCTCTTCTGGAGGGACACGCATTAATTATGAGGTTATCTAGCAGCAAGATTCTGAATCCCTCATGTTCTTCCATCGTGACAGATGTTTTCTTGTTCTTTGGGCCTTGTCTGGCAGAGACTTAAGCACCTGGCCTAGTAAGCTCTTACTTTGGATATAGAACGCTCCTTTGTAGCTGCTGTAAGACCCTAGAATAAATATCTAATATTCCTCAAAAGTAGTTCCCTTCTTTGGGCTGGTACATGCACATTAGAGCCACAGCAGCCTATAATTGTGCTCAATTTCTGTTTTAACCCTAGGAAATGTGTCAGCAAGACAAGGAACGCAGCTCTAGTACAGAAGATTCTTGAGTAGTATCTTGTTAGCAACTCTATAAGAATTAAGTGAAACTGATCTTTGAGAAATAGTACTTTTGAGTTATACCTGGGATTATTTCAGTTCTGGACTAAACAGTAAAACTTCCTTTTATATATTTTTTTTCCCCCATTTTCTCCAGAAGTTCTAGGATGTGTTAGAGAACATTGTTTTCATCAAGAAATTCCCTTTAAACTGCTCTCCTCCTTACCCTTTCTTCCCTGTGCTTCGGGTTGATCCCATTGTTCTTTGACAAATTATAACTTCTCTATGGAATTTACTTTCCCAGGGGTTAAAGAACTGACCTGGGATTTCTGCTGAGATGGCTTCTCAGGTGTAGTCTGTCATTTCAGCATTTGGTGTTTTCCTAGTTCCTTCTCTCTGTAAAAGTTCCTAATTTTTCTGTAGTATTTACAAAATAAAAGCTAAGGAACAAAATGGAAGATCGGGTACAATGGAACCATTTGTATTTTGGAGTGGTCCTCAGGTGTTGATCACTTGGAGATGTGTCAGAGCTCTTTCCAGGAAGAATGATGTGGTTGGACCAAAAAACCCCAGATTATTAATACATGAGACAGTGCAGCTGACTGCCCATCAGTAAAACTTATTCCATAAATTACTGACAAATGCCAGTAAGGAATATATCTTTGGTTAACAGTTCTCATCAGCATTCAAAATTATTTTGTATAGCGATAAAACTGGCAAGACAATAGGGTTTTGAAGGTGTCACAATGCAGTCTTGTGAAAAACAGTAAAAGGTGCTTCCCTTGCTCAGCTGACCTACTTTAATAACTTGAAACCTGTATGCATTGCGGCACCAGTGCTAAATATGCCGGTTTTGGGGTCAAAT